GACAGACAGTAGGGATAGTGCCATGACTGACAGACAGTAGGGGATGAGGCTCCTACTTCGGTATTGCGAGCGTAGTCCCATGACTGAGACCTCGTAGAGGACAGTCCCATGACTGACAGTAGGGGATGAGGCTCCTACTTCGGTATTGTGAGCGTAGTCCCATGACTGACAGACAGTAGGGATAGTGCCATGACTGACACAGTAGGGGATGAGGCTCCTACTTCGGTATTGTGAGCGTAGTCCCATGACTGACAGACAGTAGGGATAGTGCCATGACTGACAGACAGTAGGGAATGAGGCTCCTACTTCGGTATTGTGAGCGTAGTCCCATGACTGAGACACCGTAGATGACAGTCCCATGACTGACAGACGTTAGGGGATGAGGCTCCTACTTCGGTATTGTGAGCGTAGTCCCATGACTGACACACCGTAGAGGACAGTCCCATGACTGACAGTAGGGGATGAGGCTCCTACTTCGGTATTGTGAGCGTAGTCCCATGACTGAGACACCGTAGAGGACAGTCCCATGACTGACAGTAGGGGATGAGGCTCCTACTTCGGTATTGTGAGCGTAGTCCCATGACTGAGAGACCGTAGGGGACAGTGCCGTGACTGACAGACGGTAGGGGATGAGGCTCCTACTTCGGTATTGTGAGCGTAGTCCCATGACTGAGACACCGTAGAGGACAGTCCCATGACTGACAGACAGTAGGGGATGAGGCTCCTACTTCGGTATTGTGAGCGTAGTCCCATGACTGAGACCTCGTAGAGGACAGTCCCATGACTGACAGTAGGGGATGAGGCTCCTACTTCGGTATTGTGAGCGTAGTCCCATGACTGACAGACAGTAGGGATGGTGCCATGACTGACACAGTAGGGGATGAGGCTCCTACTTCGGTATTGTGAGCGTAGTCCCATGACTGACAGACAGTAGGGATAGTGCCATGACTGACAGACAGTAGGGAATGAGGCTCCTACTTCGGTATTGTGAGCGTAGTCCCATGACTGAGACACCGTAGATGACAGTCCCATGACTGACACACGTTAGGGGATGAGGCTCCTACTTCGGTATTGTGAGCGTAGTCCCATGACTGAGACACCGTAGAGGACAGTACCATGACTGACAGACGTTAGGGGATGAGGCTCCTACTTCGGTATTGTGAGCGTAGTCCCATGACTGACAGACAGTAGGGGATGAGGCTCCTACTTCGGTATTGTGAGCGTAGTCCCATGACTGACAGACAGTAGGGATAGTGCCATGACTGACAGACGGTAGGGGATGAGGCTCCTACTTCGGTATTGTGAGCGTAGTCCCATGACTGACAGACAGTAGGTATAGTGCCATGACTGACAGACAGTAGGGGATGAGGCTCCTACTTCGGTATTGTGAGCGTAGTCCCATGACTGACAGACAGTAGGGATAGTGCCATGACTGACAGACGTTAGGGGATGAGGCTCCTACTTCGGTATTGTGAGCGTAGTCCCATGACTGAGACACCGTAGAGGACAGTCACATGACTGACAGTAGGGGATGAGGCTCCTACTTCGGTATTGTGAGCGTAGTCCCATGACTGACAGACAGTAGGGATAGTGCCATGACTGACAGACAGTAGGGGATGAGGCTCCTACTTCGGTATTGTGAGCGTAGTCCCATGACTGAGACCTCGTAGAGGACAGTCCCATGACTGACAGTAGGGGATGAGGCTCCTACTTCGGTATTGTGAGCGTAGTCCCATGACTGACAGACAGTAGGGATGGTGCCATGACTGACACAGTAGGGGATGAGGCTCCTACTTCGGTATTGTGAGCGTAGTCCCATGACTGAGACACCGTAGATGACAGTCCCATGACTGACACACGTTAGGGGATGAGGCTCCTACTTCGGTATTGTGAGCGTAGTCCCATGACTGACACACCGTAGAGGACAGTCCCATGACTGACAGTAGGGGATGAGGCTCCTACTTCGGTATTGTGAGCGTAGTCCCATGACTGAGACACCGTAGAGGACAGTCCCATGACTGACAGTAGGGGATGAGGCTCCTACTTCGGTATTGTGAGCGTAGTCCCATGACTGAGAGACCGTAGGGGACAGTGCCATGACTGACAGACGGTAGGGGATGAGGCTCCTACTTCGGTATTGTGAGCGTAGTCCCATGACTGAGACACCGTAGAGGACAATCCCATGACTGACAGTAGGGGATGAGGCTCCTACTTCGGTATTGTGAGCGTAGTCCCATGCCTGACAGACCGTAAAGGACAGTCCCATGACTGACATTAGGGGATGAGGCTCCTCCTTCGGTATTGTGAGCGTAGTCCCATGACTGACAGACAGTAGGGATAGTGGCATGACTGACAGACAGTAGGGGATGAGGCTCCTACTTCGGTATTGTGAGCGTAGTCCCATGACTGACAGACAGTATGGATAGTGCCATGACTGACAGACAGTAGGGGATGAGGCTCCTACTTCGGTATTGTGAGCGTAGTCCCATAACTGACAGACAGCAGGGATAGTGCCATGACTGACAGACAATAGGGGATGAGGCTCCTACTTCGGTATTGTGAGCGTAGTCCCATGACTGAGACACCGTAGAGGACAGTCCCATGACTGACAGTAGGGGATGAGGCTCCTACTTCGGTATTGTGAGCGTAGTCCCATGACTGAGAGACCGTAGGGGACAGTCCCATGACTGACAGACAGTAGGGGATGAGGCTCCTACTTCGGTATTGTGAGCGTAGTCCCATGACTGACAGACAGTAGGGATAGTGCCATGACTGACAGACAATAGGGGATGAGGCTCCTACTTCGGTATTGTGAGCGTAGTCCCATGACTGAGACACCGTAGAGGACAGTCCCATGACTGACAGACAATAGGGGATGAGGCTCCTACTTCGGTATTGTGAGCGTAGTCCCATGACTGAGACACCGTAGAGGACAGTCCCATGACTGACAGTAGGGGATGAGGCTCCTACTTCGGTATTGTGAGCGTAGTCCCATGACTGAGACACCGTAGAGGACAGTACCATGACTGACAGACGTTAGGGGATGAGGCTCCTACTTTGGTATTGTGAGCGTAGTCCCATGACTGACAGACAGTAGGGGATGAGGCTCCTACTTCGGTATTGTGAGCGTAGTCCCATGACTGACAGACAGTAGGGATAGTGCCATGACTGACAGACAGTAGGGGATGAGGCTCCTACTTCGGTATTGTGAGCGTAGTCCCATGACTGACAGACAGTAGGTATAGTGCCATGACTGACAGACAGTAGGGGATGAGGCTCCTACTTCGGTATTGTGAGCGTAGTCCCATGACTGACAGACAGTAGGGATAGTGCCATGACTGACAGACAATAGGGGATGAGGCTCCTACTTCGGTATTGTGAGCGTAGTCCCATGACTGAGACACCGTAGATGACAGTCCCATGACTGACAGACGTTAGGGGATGAGGCTCCTACTTCGGTATTGTGAGCGTAGTCCCATGACTGACACACCGTAGAGGACAGTCCCATGACTGACAGTAGGGGATGAGGCTCCTACTTCGGTATTGTGAGCGTAGTCCCATGACTGAGACACCGTAGAGGACAGTCCCATGTTTGACAGTAGGGGATGAGGCTCCTACTTCGGTATTGTGAGCGTAGTCCCATGACTGAGAGACCGTAGGGGACAGTGCCGTGACTGACAGACGGTAGGGGATGAGGCTCCTACTTCGGTATTGTGAGCGTAGTCCCATGACTGAGACACCGTAGAGGACAGTCCCATGACTGACAGACAGTAGGGGATGAGGCTCCTACTTCGGTATTGTGAGCGTAGTCCCATGACTGAGACCTCGTAGAGGACAGTCCCATGACTGACAGTAGGGGATGAGGCTCCTACTTCGGTATTGTGAGCGTAGTCCCATGACTGACAGACAGTAGGGATGGTGCCATGACTGACACAGTAGGGGATGAGGCTCCTACTTCGGTATTGTGAGCGTAGTCCCATGACTGACAGACAGTAGGGATAGTGCCATGACTGACAGACAGTAGGGAATGAGGCTCCTACTTCGGTATTGTGAGCGTAGTCCCATGACTGAGACACCGTAGATGACAGTCCCATGACTGACACACGTTAGGGGATGAGGCTCCTACTTCGGTATTGTGAGCGTAGTCCCATGACTGAGACACCGTAGAGGACAGTACCATGACTGACAGACGTTAGGGGATGAGGCTCCTACTTCGGTATTGTGAGCGTAGTCCCATGACTGAGACACCGTAGAGGACAGTCCCATGACTGACAGACGTTAGGGGATGAGGCTCCTACTTCGGTATTGTGAGCGTAGTCCCATGACTGACACACCGTAGAGGACAGTCCCATGACTGACAGTAGGGGATGAGGCTCCTACTTCGGTATTGTGAGCGTAGTCCCATGACTGAGACACCGTAGAGGACAGTACCATGACTGACAGACGTTAGGGGATGAGGCTCCTACTTCGGTATTGTGAGCGTAGTCCCATGACTGACAGACAGTAGGGATAGTGCCATGACTGACAGACAATAGGGGATGAGGCTCCTACTTCGGTATTGTGAGCGTAGTCCCATGACTGACACACCGTAGAGGACAGTCCCATGACTGACAGTAGGGGATGAGGCTCCTACTTCGGTATTGTGAGCGTAGTCCCATGACTGAGACACCGTAGAGGACAGTCCCATGACTGACAGACAATAGGGGATGAGGCTCCTACTTCGGTATTGTGAGCGTAGTCCCATGACTGACAGACATTAGGGATAGTCCCATGACTGACAGACGTTAGGGGATGAGGCTCCTACTTCGGTATTGTGAGCGTAGTCCCATGACTGAGACACCGTAGAGGACAGTCCCATGACTGACAGTAGGGGATGAGGCTCCTACTTCGGTATTGTGAGCGTAGTCCCATGACTGAGACACCGTAGAGGACAGTCCCATTACTGACACTAGGGGATGAGGCTCCTACTTCGGTATTGTGACCGTAGTCCCATGACTGACAGACAATAGGGATAGTGTCATGACTGACAGACAGTTGGAGATGAGGCTCCCACTTCGGTGTTGCGAGCGTAGTCACATAGCTGACAGACAATAGGGGATGAGGCTCCTAGTTCGGTATTATTTTGGCTTCGTGGATGATCTAAAACTATCTTAAATCGTGAGTGTATGCACTCCTTGCAAGGCCCAATGCTTCACTTTGCATTTTGCCGTTGTTCGTCAAACGCTTATGGTGCTAGAAGTCCAGGAAATTGTACGCACTCTCCCCTAACCTGCTGGAGTGTCACGTTCTGCAGATAAGTACAAGCTTCTTACAGAAAAGCTGAAAGCCTTTGTCAACCACAAGTGAATGTCACATACGAAATGTCTATATTACATGATTTGTACAATGTACAGGAAGGAGGGGGAGCGGTTTGACGCATTCATATCTCGCGGCCTTACTTGAGACTGCAGGCGGATCGCTGTGGTTATATTGTAGACAGAGAAACTGTTGTGCTGGAATGTGCTGTTGCCAGGTGTAAGGACCCGGAGTTGCAGAAGTTTTTTGCAGATCCACACCTGACGCTTCAAAAGGCTGTGGAAATGGCCCAACGCCTGGAGGTGACCAGAACCCAGCTGGATGACCTCAACAGGCCAGGACTTCACTTCAGCCAGGTGGCACCACAACAACTGCATCTTGCCCGGTCGGCAGCCACGGTGAGGTGTCCAAGGTGTAACAGTCGGAGGCAACAGACCAGTCAGTGTCCTTTCAGGGCCCAATTTTGCTTCAATTGTTCAAAGGCGAGACACGCCGAGTCTGTCTGTCAGTCTAAGCAGTTGCCAAAGAAGTAGGTATGTGGTTCTGTCTGGCCAGTCCACCAAGTGCAATAGATGTCTGGGAACGTCCCACCAGCCGACACACTATCCTTTCAAGAAGTTGGCTTGCTTTGCGTGTGGAAGGATTAGTCATACTCAAGCTGCGTGTGGGATCAACCATCCACAACCCCCCCCCCCCCCCCAGACGTCTGAATTGGTTGGTCAGTGCAATTCAGTGCTGTGAAATTCAGCACACTGAGTGGCAACCAAACTGGTGTTCGATTAACCCGTGATTGAATCGATTGGACTGTATAAAACAAAATTTGTTGGATCAAAAAGGTTGGTTCACCGTCAGGATTGTTCGATTCACAAGTCATGATTGAATCAAACGAATTGGGAATCAGGGTTGATTGAATCAAAGAAGTGTATGCTTAATGAATTTAAGAAAATTTGAACTGAACAGATAGTTCATTATCAACAATACTGCCAGTGTCATGGGATGATAATCATAGGCGGCGGAACGGCGGGGGGGGGGGGCACCGTGCCCCCCTTGAATTCTGCAAGGTTCACCAATAGCAAGGTGCCCCCCTTAAATTTGATGTATTAGTACCAGGGGCGAATTCGGGAAAACTCCAAGGGGAGGGTCATGAATCTAAGTGGTGCCCCTACCTATACCCAAAATTAAAACCTCAACGGATTTCGGCCACTTAATTTTGGTGATGCCCTATTTTCAGTTTTTTCTTTATTTTTGGTTAGTCATGTGATGACTGGTGCCCCTGCTAGGCCGCTGGTGCCCATGGAAAGACTGTGGTGCCTACCTACCCTGCCCCCTGACAAGCCTACGGTGGGCCCTGACATGACTTAGGTGCCCATGGGCCCTGACAGGCCCGTGGTGCCCCTGACAGGCCTGTGGTGTCCTTGCTAGGCCTGTGGTGTCCTTGCTATGCTTGTGGTGTCTCTGGTCCTTGGCAGGTCTGTGGTGCCCCTGGCGAGCCTGTGGTGCCCCTGTTAGAACGCAGGTGCCCTTGACAGGTTTGTGGTGCCCCTGACAATCCTAAACTGAGGGCCCCATGCTGACTCTGAGGGCCCCATGCTGTCCTTACAGGCCAGCATGGGGCCCTCAGAGGTCGGTGTGGGGCCCTAAAACACCGGCATGGGCCGGCGTTGGACCAGAGGCCAGCGGAGGGCCCTCAAAGGCCAAGATGGGCCCTCAGACGCCGATGCGGGCCCTGAGCGGCCGGCATTGGGTCTTCAGAATCCAGTGCGGGGGCCCTCAGAGGCTAGTGTGGGTCCTTACAGGCCAGCATGGGGCCCTTAAAGGTCAGTGTGGGGCCCTAAAAGGCCGGCATGGGCCGGCGTTGGACCCCAGAGACCAGCGGAGGGCTCTCAAAGGCCAATATGGGCCTCCAGAGGCCGATGCGAGCTCCTACAGGCCGACATCGGGTCTTCAGAATCCAGTGCGGGGCCCTCAGAGACACTTAAAGGCTAGTCTTGGGACTCGAGAGACAGAAATGAGGCCACCAGAGGCCGGCGTGAGGCTCTCAGACGCCGGCTGGGCCCCTGAGGCCGGTTTAGGGGCCCGCAAAGGCCAGTGGAGGGCCCTCAGAGGTCAATGTGGACGCTTGACCGCCACTGAAGGGCCATCAGAGGTCAGTGTAGGACCCTCAAAGACTGGTATGGGAGCTGTTAATAGCTGGCGTGGGTTTCTCGAGCCTCGTGACAATCGAATACGGGCCAGGGCCCCATACGGCCATCGGTTGTTTGGGGGGGGGGGGCCAAATGATATGATGGCCCCCCCTGATTTGCCTTTGGGGGGGCCATGGCCCTGATGGCCCCCCCCCCCCTGCGACCGCCACTGGCTGGCGCGCGACCATGTTTTGTGAGCGGGACGGTCCCTGAGTCCGTTACGCTTCCTGAGATTGTGTATGGCTTGCAGTTGCTCGGCTGTCGGGTGTTTTGTGCCTCGTCTGAGCACTCTGACACCCCCCGTGTGCGGCGGTGTCCGATGTAGATTCTAGGTCTGCTATGTACCCCCTCCCCTTCCTTTACCGAACTTCTGACCGCCCCCCTCTCTCTCTCTCTCTCTCTCTCTCTCTCTCTCTCTCTCCCTCCCTCTGCAGCAAAGTTTTCGCTCTCTGGTCGCCATGGATTTCACCGGCAGCTGCGGCAGCGTGGTTAGCGACCCAGTCGAGGCCAGGGCCATCGAGCTGGCAGAAAGTCACCATCCCAGGAGAACACACGCGCTAAAGAGGCTCTAAGGTATGTGTTTTGACGACGGACGGAGCGGGATGGGCGAATGCCGATGTCGCTTTGCTCTGTGATTTTATGAAATATGGTGACTAATGGTTGCAAACCAAAATGATAATTAAAATCTAAATCTTTTTGTATTTTAGACGTTTCGACAACAAGGTGCCATCATTGGTAATCGATACAAAATCTACCTTAACCCTCGCATGTGTAGGGGCCAGGGGGGAGGGGTCGGATGGACCCCCTCCATGGTTTGTTCCCAAATAACTCGCGCAAACTGCGGCTGTGATCGCGACAAAACTTTCAGTACCCTCGAGTTCATCAACTTTACAGTTACCATGAAAATTGCATGACCCTGACCTAAATGACCTTTGACCTGTGACCTGATTCTCGAGACCATGTTCGGCCGGAATCGCGATTTGGCGTATGTCAGCTCACATTATCCGCGCGTTTCCAGTCTTTTTTGTGATTATAAACGTCGAACTATGTGAAATGATGTTCGTCCCACGAATTACGGTGGGTATCAACGTCACCTGAAGGTCAGGTCATTGACCTTAGATGACCTCGGTTCACTTTTTCGTATTTTATTTGTTTCAATTGTAGTTTTTCGGGCTGATTTCGAATTTAGCATCCATTTGAACATTTACGAAGTAGTTTAGTGCCTTCGTAACATGTTACGACGCCGTCAGTGGTAGTTGACACCTACTATGGATAGCCGTCAGGACGCCTACTGGTCGACCTGACCTGACCTGACCCGACCTGGCCTAAATGCATGAAGACATCAATCATCTGTAATCAAAAGTAATATGAAATTCGTGATCAGCACCCCAAAAAAAGCCACAACAGCTTCACTTTACGAAATTCTAACAGGTCCCGATTTTCTCGACTTTTGGGTCATTGACCTGACCTGGAAGGTCAACCAATTACCTAGGACCTTAAAATTGGGTATCATCGGCTTCCTCTCATCACGGGCAACACGCTCGTTTTTTCCGCGAACCTCTAGCTCGATCAGGGGCCGAACGGCAGGCGGGTTCAACCGACCCCCCCCCCCCCCCCCGTACACATTAGACGCTGGCAAACGCCGCACACATGCGGACTTAAGTCACAATCCGAAGTAACGGTTTTTGGTCTCCTGTAAATTTTCCAGGTCGTTCAGTTGGTGCCGTTGCACGCAGCTCGCCTGGCTGGGGCCTTTCTTCTATCATTAAAATGTTATCTATCACTGTTTGCCGGGACTGGCCTCCTATAACGCGTCAGCCTCGTTGAAGATTGCCATCCCTTCATCATTTTGTCGTTGCACTGTACCACGCCATGGTTAATTAGTATCATGCCTGCCGAACGACGTCATCACGGTGCCATCAAAGGGATGTGTCGAGGCAGCTTTAATCTGGGACGCTGGTCGGCAGCTCACATTTCAAAAGAAACTAACGTTCATGAACTAGACATGATGAATGAGCGACGAACGTGCATCCAGCTGGTAGGGTAGCAGTTGTGAAATGCCCAGGAAGGCTCTGGAAGGGAGGAGAAGAGGCCAGCTGGCTCGATATTAGTAGACTTTGGCCGAGTTCTGTTGCCAATTGTTGGCGTAGGTCATGGATTATTGCGAAACGGTTTGGGATTCGCGACGATTAGCCGTTGTCTTCCGACAGTTTGTACTACATTTAGACTTAGATTTCCCTGGACGATGACTTACCGGTCGTGCTATCATTAGTAGCGATCATACGTGCATAAAGATTAATCCGGTGTCGATCCGGCCATCTCATTGGCCCCCTGCTGGTCGCCCACCGACCACAGTTGACCATTTGCTCCCCTCCACAGGTAAAGGACACCAGTCAGCCGCCGGTCACGGTGCTGGACGGCGGCAACACTCGCTTGTACGACGTCATCCAGCTGATGGAGTTTTACCAGCTGAACGCCGGAGTGCTGCCCACCAGTGCTGGAAATGAGGCCGCTTTCTGGTCCCGGCGTTTTATTCTCCGGGTGAGTTAGCCCCGTCTAGCGCTTAGCCTTTCGGGACCCTCTCAGAGCCGCGGTTGTTTTCGCCGCTCGGCCCATTCGAGATGCAAAGTTTAATCTGGGACGCTGGTCGGCAGCTCACATTTAAAAAGAAACTGACGCCCATGAACTAGACATGATGAATGAGCGACGAACGTGCATCCAGCTGGTAGGGTAGCAGTTGTGAAATGCCCAGGAAGGCTCTGGAAGGGAGGAGAAGAGGCCAGCTGGCTCGATATTAGTAGACTTTGGCCGAGTTCTGTTGCCAATTGTTGGCGTAGGTCATGGATTATTGCGAAACGGTTTGGGATTCGCGACGATTAGCCGTTGTCTTCCGACAGTTTGTACTACATTTAGACTTAGATTTCCCTGGACGATGACTTACCGGTCGTGCTATCATTAGTAGCGATCATACGTGCATAAAGATTAATCCGGTGTCGATCCGGCCATCTCATTGGCCCCCTGCTGGTCGCCCACCGACCACAGTTGACCATTTGCTCCCCTCCACAGGTAAAGGACACCAGTCAGCCGCCGGTCACGGTGCTGGACGGCGGCAACACTCGCTTGTACGACGTCATCCAGCTGGTGGAGTTTTACCAGCTGAACGCCGGAGTGCTGCCCACCAGTGCTGGAAATGAGGCCGCTTTCTGGTCCCGGCGTTTTATTCTCCGGGTGAGTTAGCCCCGTCTAGCGCTTAGCCTTTCGGGACCCTCTCAGAGCCGCGGTTGTTTTCGCCGCTCGGCCCATTCGAGATGCAAAGTTTAATCTGGGACGCTGGTCGGCAGCTCACATTTAAAAAGAAACTGACGCCCATGAACTAGACATGATGAATGAGCGACGAACGTGCATCCAGCTGGTAGGGTAGCAGTTGTGAAATGCCCAGGAAGGCTCTGGAAGGGAGGAGAAGAGGCCAGCTGGCTCGATATTAGTAGACTTTGGCCGAGTTCTGTTGCCAATTGTTGGCGTAGGTCATGGATTATTGCGAAACGGTTTGGGATTCGCGACGATTAGCCGTTGTCTTCCGACAGTTTGTACTACATTTAGACTTAGATTTCCCTGGACGATGACTTACCGGTCGTGCTATCATTAGTAGCGATCATACGTGCATAACGCTTAATCCGTGTCGATCCGGCCATCTCATTGGCCCCCTGCTGGTCGCCCACCGACCTCAGTTGACCATTTGCTCCCCTCCACAGGTAAAGGACACCAGTCAGCCGCCGGTCACGGTGCTGGACGGCGACAAGACTCGCTTGTACGACGTCATCCAGCTGGTGGAGTTTTACCAGCTGAACGCCGGAGTGCTGCCCAGTGCCCACCCGTCTCATCTGCTTCATCACGCACACCGCGCCGTCGTCGTCATCGGCGCTCCGTCACGTCGCGCAGAGTTTCTAACGGCTGCCGCACCGCCGCCAGCGCCTCCGGCGGCGGAAGCGCGCGGCTGTAGTTCGTGACGGCGGCGTGCTCCGGTCATGGGGCGAACCCCGGGCCCCCTGGGGGGGGACCATCAAAGCGTCCAAAACCGCAGCATCCAAAGTACGCAACATCCAAAACCGCAGCGTCCAAAGTACGCAACGTCCAAAATACGTCCAAAATCGGGTATATAGGGAGCATTCACAACGTCCAAAACCGAAACATCCAAAACCGCAACATCCAAAAACGTATCATCCAAAAACGCAACATCCAAAGACGCAGCATCCAAAGTACGCAACATCCAAAGTACGTAACCTCCAAAACCACAACGTCCAAAACCGCAACATCCAAAGTACGCAACATCCAAAACCGCAGCGTCCAAAGTACGCAACATCCAAAATACGTCCAAAATCGGGTATATAGGGGGCATTCACAACGTCCAAAACCGCAACATCCAAAACCGCAACATCCAAAAACGTATCGTCCAAGAACGCTACATCCAAGGACGCATCATCCAAAGTACGCAACATCCAAGTACGTAACCTCCAAAACCCACAACATCCAAAACCGCAACATCCAAAGTACGTAACATCCAAAGTACGCAGCGTCCAAACTACGCAGCGTCCAAAGTACGCAACATCCAAGTACGGAAAATCCAAGGACGCAACATCCAAAATGGTTTGAAAGCTTCAGTTTATTTAGCACCCACTAGATGGCACTGCCATGAGTAAGTGGTGACGTCACTTCTGCTCCACGGTGGATACAGTCGAATGCCTATAACACCAAGGGAGATCTGGCCAAACTGCACTGCCTCGTACCTCGTGGGTGGAAAATAACCGCTCTTCTGCCGCCGTCGTTCAAGGCCAAGCTAGCTCGCGCCGCCGCATATTTGGCGGGAACTGAGGTTGGCGGGAGCATGTGTTGGCAGGAACTGCAGCTGGCGCAAAACAAAAAACCGTGCCAAGGCCTCGTGGCTCACAGGAATGCGGAAACGTGGGTGGGGAGAAGTGGGCGACAGGGGGCTGGAGACGCCGCAGCTACAACCGTGAAAAGCTGTAAAAACCGGGAAAAGCTGAATTCCCCTGACTTATGCAAGGAATAATAGCCGTGTGAAAACCATCCCTATATGTGACAAGGAGTATGGAAAATAGTGAGTTTGCAAACCTCCTCGCAATAATGTTTTGCTGATTCGTGCCCATTTGGCTTGTATAGTGGTTTATTTGTGCCACTGCAAGTGTCTGCGGTATCGCAGCCGGATCAGCCGGGTGATTGTAGACGGGCCGGCCAGTCATGCGTAAAGAAGGCTTACAAAATGCAAAAGCATAACCGAGACCAGCAAAGTGGAGCTGAAGCTTGAAATCCTGATGCGAACCGCCAATGATGGTTCTTAAACTTATGCGCTGTGAGCCAAACGCCAACCGATGCATCATGTGGCAATTACATATCGTTAGGAGGAGACTAATTGTACTTTATGCGACCTTTTGCTCGTTTAAATGTATTTTATGTCACGCTCGACTTGTTTAAGCACGAGTAAGAGTTCATTTATAAACGAGTGCTAAGGATAACGCCAGATAAGGCCTTATCTGAATCTATACCCGGGGTCAATAAACCCAAAGTCGTTTAAATAATATTTATGCACTAGTGCATAAATATTCAGCATTGCTTAGCATTGCTTGGCCTTATTTATCACCCGGCGCCTCCGATTTTAAAGGATGTACCACATGCCGAGATATCCCTTTAGTATTAGCACGTGATTTTGGGAAAAGCTTTCGGACCGGTTGTGGCTAATGTTTAAGGTATTTGGGAAACGATTTCGGACCGTGGTCATTTTTATTTTCCCAGACAAAGTTTTACTGAATGTTCTGAGCGGAAGAACCAAATCCAAAGAAGATATTTTCGGACTGCGTGTTCACTAACAGCAACACCAAAAGTAAGTGACTGCGTGTTTACCTACTTTTGCTGTCAACGTAATTCAACTAAACAAGGGTAGGTATCGTTCCTATGCCAATGTATTTATTGCTGCAGAACATGGCCAGAATAGTCATTATTACTACATAATGCACGCAAAAAACGAACAATTTAAATGCGCGAAGCATCTTAACGTGCCACAATGAAAAATTTGATATTTTTTCCAGCTGGGATCCAAGACGCGTTTGATTCAGCGTTTCACCCAATTTTCAGTTTTCCTTACGGTCTCCTCACTCCTGCTGTACTCCATAGTCCATATACTTATTTATTCTACCCAGGCATCGGTAAAATCCTTTTTGAAAGGATTGCATTCCCAATCCACATTCCTAGTGCCGAAGTGGATTGCATTCCTACCCGCAATCCCCTTTTTTCACTTGGATTGTGATCAAATCCGCAATCCTTTTTTGCAATCCTGTTGTATTATTATGTGCACTAGTGGATCTGGGGGAGGGAGGGGGGCATAGGGCCATGCCTCAATCCCCAAATCACCCATTTCTAGTACCTAGTCTTGCGAGTAATTCCTATCTAAGGCACAGATATTTTATGGGAAATATTTTTTGCCTCAAACACCCCCACATTTAAACCTCTACCCAACCAGTGTTTTATATTTTTAAAGCGTACTAAACCTGAAAGCGCTCCGTGTACGTCATTAATTAAATGGGGGTCTTGTTTTCTTAAACCATTGGCTTACCTATTCTCACCTCGACATGTTCCATAGTGTATGGAAATATGGGCAAGTAGGTACACTGTAGGGTGTGTCACTAGAAACAGATCAAGCGCTTCCGCTGATTTTCCTTGTCCCTGTGTCTATGGAAGCCCATTGGTGCAGTTCTTTTTTCCATGCATCGAAAATTCGATCGGCGCGGGCTGAAAGAAGTTCGGGATTTATCGTGGCGCCCGGCGTTGCAGTCTCCATGTTTGGCGTAATGCGTTTGATGACACTAGCACCAGCCGCGCGCGTCTTCGCCTGTTAGCGTCGACAGACGCTGTCAATACGGATGTAAGCAATGCAAACGAGACAGTATCCTCTATTTAGACAACGGTTACACAGAAAAGATGCATCTTTGCCATTCAATAGCAAACTGAATTCAACTGAATTAGCATTTGCCTACCTTGCATGGTTCAGGGGACCGATTTTCTTGCAGGCCTCCTTTGCGGAGATGTTGCCCGTCCGCACGGCTCTGGTGAACTGATACGGCAGGAGTTGGTCGCTGCTGAGGTCGGCGATGATATTGTCCGGCAGTTCCAGCTCTGGGCCGCTCACCGGTCGGAACTTCACGGGATAAAGACGGTGCACGGAGGCGCCGGCTGCCTTGCCCAACGGCCCCGTGAATGATTCGGGTCCACTGGTATTGCCGTCCAAGTTCTGGAACACTTCCCTGAGTACAAGCTCATTCGAGTGCAGCTGGCAAACAAACCAATCGGACCGTTTTCTCTTGAATAAGCTCCAAAAGTCGGCATATTCCACCAGATCTGCCCGTATTGACAGCCGCGCCATCGCAGCCTATAAGCCAGAGTGGCAACGTTTATCAGCTCATTGGCTTGATCAATGGCTTTACCCGAAATTGGCGTAAAGTTGGAGAGATATTCGTTTCCTGGTTCTGCTACAAGTTAGCCACATGTTCCTCAGTTGCCCTGTAGCCGCCTCGGCCCGTGTTAGTTTGATAATGCCTTCCATCAAAGTACATGGCCTTGAGCTCAGCGTCGCTGTGTTGTTGGTCCCGCGCGGCCACTGTACTTTGTCTCACCCGGCATCTTTCTCTCCATACTTTTTCGGGTCGACCAGCAATTCTGTTTTGCCGCTCGCTACGCGACCGATATCCATCTGAAAACCGTTGATGACGGCCGCTATAGCACGGTTGGATAAACCATACCTGTCAGTCAGCTGCCAGTGCAGTGTTTGTCATATCATCATCGTTTGAGTCTTTGATGCATTCCTTCATCTCAAATTCACTTGTGACGTCTCCATTGCTGTCGTTGGTGTCGGTCGTTGCCGATGAGTCTACCTGGCCTGTCTCGTCGATATTGACGCCGTTGGGATAGGTACGGAGGTGGGAAGGACCAGCTTGACCCACGTCGCCCCTCCCCTCGTTCCGCTCCCGTCTCATTCTAAGGCTCGCAGTCTTACGTCGTTTCCTCGTCTCCTCGTAGTCCACACCACCCAGTCTCATCTTCCGAACTCCTCTCTGGTCTCGAAGGAATGCTACTTCCGCTGGCGGTACCCGGTTTGAAAGTGGACAGGTATAGCTTCGCCGATGTTTACAGCGGCAGCGGGCGATGTCAAAAAGCTTACGAAACAGACTCGATTCAGAAAGACTTTGTTTCGTTTGTCCCTCCCGCATTCTTTTGGGCACCTTGTTCGATCGGCGAAATCTTTCGTAGATTTGCTTTACCTTCCGAACCACATTGTGCATTTGTATCGTTGGTATGTCCTCACTCGACCACATTGCAACCACCGCTTCCGCTGCTTCACGTAAACATGCAGTGACTGTCCGCTCACTTTTTCCATCCCCTGCCAAGGGTCTCACATAGTTCACTACATCTCTGTTTGTAGGCAGCTGATTTACCGGCAGCACACTGGGAGACCCGCTAACAAAATGTTTCGCCTTGCTTCGCAACGGTATCACTGCGGCACGCATAGTCCGATTCGATTGCGCCACACGCACTTCTGCTCACGCCGCAGCTGAAACCAGACTCACCCACGTTCTTCGCAAGCTCGTGTACCTCGGAGAGACAGCACATGACTCGAAAGCCGACACATTGTGTTGCCGACGGAGGGGTGATACCCGAGACCCCGCTCACGTTGCCCTCTGTCCATCCGTGCTCTCATTCTCCCTGCCTCACTCGTGATAGTCTTGCCAAGGCTGCAGCGTGATCCTATTATATGAATCATCTGTGGGTCCCTGAATGGCCTTAACACATTAAGATAACAATATGTTTCGTCCGACGTCCATTTAAACAAGAAATAGCAATCGAATTTTAACCGTCAAACGGTGTTGGCCGCTACAGGCCGACGGCGAGTCATATGGCTGGTGTTAGCGCTACGGTACGCATTGTGTTCAGTATGGAGACTTCAACGCCGGGCGCCACGGAAAATGTCGAAATTGATTG